CCACGGACGTCGCCGGCGAAGCAGTTGCCCATAGAACTAGAGAGAGAGAGAGAGAGAAAATGGGGAAGAATGTTTAGAGTGAGAAAGGAAAAGGGAGGGAAAGCGCGTGGGTTCTCTTTAGAGAGAGAGAGAGAGAGAGTGCGGACTGGGGATTGACTGCGGAAGTCTTGGGGTATTTGATTGCCCGCTGCGAGGGTAAATTGGGAATAAAAGTTCTAGTCAAAGGGTATTTTCCTTAATTCCTGTCACTTCAAATCAAATATATATGAAAAGCCACTACTTAGGAGTAAGGACAATAAGAGCATCTCCAACAACTTTTCTATTTTATTGGTATTATCATTTTTAGAGAATTTTTGGTTTTTTTTTTGTCTAACAGCTTCCCCATCTCATCCCCAAAATAGCGATGGAGGAGAAAAAAATGGGAGTCTTCCCCAAATCTAGGGTATTCTTTAAATTTTTGAGGAGGGCTTTGTCATAAATTCGGCACGTTCTTCAAAACGGGATGGGGGAGAAAATAAATACAAAACAAAATTCGTAATTATAAAAAAAAGCCATACGGGTAGTTCCAATGCAAAAAAGCATCCCAAAATAGGGATGTAGAATATTTTTATTATTGTAATAAATGCAGGATTCTTCAAAATGAGGAAGTTGTTGGAGTTGGAGCAAAAATAATTTGGAAAATATGACTTTTGTTTTCCCATTTTGAAGAAATTTTTGGGGAAACTGTTGGAGATGCTCTAATCATCTATCATCTACCTTTTAAAAGAGGGAGTACTAGAAAAACTTTTTCTACCCCCAAATTACCCTTCAACTATTATAAATATAACAAAGTTATCCATTTTTATCATTACACAAAATTCAGAAATCAGGCGGCCTAAACGTTCGTTCCTTTCATTCTCCACTCGGTCGGTTACGACTTTGCTCCGGCAACCCATCAGCAGACCTATTTAGTATTTCTTATTCCTCTCCTCTCTCTCTCTCTCTCCTTTCTCTTTATCCTTTCCTTCTTTATCTCTCCCCTAAAATATTCTCAGATCAAGTGTCGAAACTTTTTATTCCAAAAAGGGTAGAAATCGAGAAGAAGTTGATTTTTATCGAAGAAGGTAGAATAAATGGTGGAAACTAGGCGGAGCTCAGCTTCTTCTTCCAGCAACAAGCGGAACCCTAAGCTCTCCAAGGTCCGATCTTTTCCCCTTCTTTGGATTCGATTGATTTTTGAGATCCGGTTAAAAGTTTTGATTGATCTGTTCAGGCGGGGGCGACAGCGGTGACGGAGAACTAGCGGAGTTTCCTTCTCAAGGTCTGATCTTTTGGCCTCTTCTTGAGTTATTGGAATTTCTTTAGTAATTTATTATGAACTTCTCTGTGGTGTTACTGTTGAATGATGCAGATCAGTATTTAAAACAGCTGGTGTTATCGATGAATCGACGGAATTTGCAGCAGAAGAGGCTGGTGAAGTCGCAGGTTGATGTAGGAATTCCATGGGCCAGACTTCTTTCACAGTCTTCTCAGGTTGGCTATTTTATTTTCTAAATGATTTGATCAATTTAGTTTTGCTCTGCATGCCTTTTTTTTAGCTTTAGGCAACTCTATTATTATATGACACGCAAGAATTGTGACTTCTTGATGAAGAGTTAGGTTGAGTGGTATTTTACTCAGAACCAACACTCTCATTATTATTTAGGCTTTCAATGAAGACAAAATAGGCTCTTGTTTACAGCCTTACAGTTTGCTCTCTATTTGTAAAAGGGAGAACAATTTGATTTTACGTCAGTAATAGAACTGTTTATTACTTCATGTATGTAGAATCATGTGAAGTCGATGACATTGCCACCATTTGTGTACTATCATATTCCCTTTTAGTACTTTTAGTGACGTAAAGTGTGGCTCGACCTCCCTACCCGTGTCCATATCCGAGATCCTTTCCTCGGCCGGTCTTATGACTAGGTGTTCGCAATAATTCGGCAAGCTCCAACCAGCTCCCATTAAGTCTATATGTTGGAATTTTTTAATATTTGGTCCTATTATTGCCCATTGCGCTGGCATCGTGGCAAAGTTCGGTACATTTGGATCCTAGCATCGTCATACCACCATCACTGCATCGTGGCTTTTGAATAGCGGCATTGCCCAGGACGGTTGCCTTTCCCTCCCCGGGAGTTGCAAGTTTTCCCTACCCGGGAGTTGCAAGTTTTGTATGAAATCCCGGCTTTCGAAGTGGTATGATCAACGAGTCCATTAGGGAGATTGTCACATGTTGGTTTTCATTTGTTTCCGCTAAAGGATAAATTTTCTTTGAGTTCACAGCTAATTTATTACATGCAAACGTCTTTTTTTCTTCAAATAGC